TCCTGCTCCTGAGAAGTGTCTATGCTCCTTGGCTCGTGGTTACATCACTCCAGTCCCAGCCTCTGTGGTCACACTCAATCTCCTCTCCCACGTCGAATTTCCCTTTACCTCTGTCTTATGAAGACACTTGGGATTTCATTTAAGACACACCTGGATAATCCAGGCTACTCCCTCCACCTCAGGACCCTTAATTGAATCACATCTGCAAACACTGCTTGTTCATATTGGGTAACATTTACGGTTTCACAGCAACAGGACCTCAAGACAAGACAAACACCTTTCCCCTTACTCACAACAGGTACACAGTCCTGTTCTAAGGCTGACATTGTAAATAAAAGTACTGATTAACTATTACGGCAGTTGGAGAATGCTTATGTCAGGGATTTGGGGCTCACAGCAAAAGACTGATATTTTGCTATTCATGAATTTAAACTTAAGAGCCCTCACAGAAAAATTGTTACATTTAAAAAGGCACTGCAAAAAGGAAAATTCCTTAGACCAATTATGTTAAACAGTTTGTTAGAGTAAAACAAAACAGAATGGTTCACAAATCAGGCAGCTTCCAGAACCATAGCAGACCTAGAACTCCCACCCACAATGTGCTCAGCCGGCAGTTAGAGGAAAACAGATGGGAGACAGAGATCAATTTAATTGACAGTAACCTAGTCAATCAACTCACTGGTTACTGCCTAACTAGTTAGTTGCTAATATCCAAATCAGATAACAGGCTACAGGGTGCTGTGCCACCAGCTAAAGCAAAGTTAACTATTGTTTGGGTTTGGTAGGGCCAAAGCAGCCCAATCCATGAGCTTCTACAAAATCTCATTTGACAGATCAGTAACACTAAATATACCGGAGGCATCAGTGCACTGCAATGTGGAGTTTTTTGTTCGTTTACTCTAAAAATTGTTGTTGAAACTGAATCCCTAAATGCAACAGAATTGGGAAGCAGAGTTTATTGGACCCTCATGAGTCAATTAACACTGCTAGAAAATGGACTGGAAGGAAGGGGACAGTAGGCATCCCAAATTAGGGGTGCTGATTGGAGTGCCAGCTGTCCACATCTGATCCAGTTTCTAGCTGATGGGCCTGAGAGTGAATGAAAATGCCAAGGGCTTCTGCTACCCATGTGGGAGAGTAGGATGGATTTCCTAGCTCCTGGCTTTGGCCTGGCCCAGGCTCAGCCATTGCAGCCACCGACGAGGGATCTGGTAGATGGAAGCTCTCTCTTTCTCCTTCCCTGTCACTCTGGCTTTCAAATAAATCTCTCTCTTTTTTTTTTTTTAAGATTTATTCATTTATTGGAAAGTCAGATATACAGAGAGGAGGAGAGACAGAGAGGAAGATCTTCCATCCGATGATTCACTCCCCAAGTGAGCTCAACGGCTGATGCTATGCCGATCTGAAGCCAGGATCCAGGAACTTCCTCCAGGTCTCCCACACGGGTGCAGGGTCCCAAAGCCTTGGGCCGTCCTCGTCTGCTTTCCCAGGCCACAAGCTGGATGGGAAGTTGAGCTGCTGGGATTAGAACTGGCGCCCATATGGGATCCTGGCGTGTTCAAGGCAAGGACTTTAGCGGCTAGGCCACACCGCTGGGCCCTCAAATAAATCTTAAAAGGGGCAAGGGGCAGGGCAGGGGAGACTCCTACGGTGGGCTCTGTTTCTCCTATGAAGGAACAGGGTTCCCCCACTTTTGTCCTTTTGCCACTTGAAGACACAGTAAGAAGGTCTCCCCCACACCAGATACCAGTACTTTCCTCTTGGGCTTTTATGCCCCCAGAGGCAGGCAGGAAAAAAAATCAATTTTTATTATTTACAAATGACTCAATCTTGGGTATTCTGTTACCACAGCACAGATTAGATTAAGACACCATGAGAAGTCACCGAACATCATTTGACTAAAGGGTTAGATCAGCTTACAAAGCAGTGGAAAAGCACAGGTGGGACTCTGGGCAGTACACACAAATGCATCTTACTGACAAGGACAAATCATCTGCCTGCATTTCCAGGGCATGGCATAGCACACATAATTAAATATTCATTAAACACAGCAATAAAAGGGCACACTTTAAGTGGGTTTTAGTTAAAGATCACGCAGCAGGTGCACCTGTCTAGCACTCTGCTAGGCACTTTGAGGATACTAAAATGTGCTAGTGGTAATGAGCATTTAGCCTAGCTCCTGTTTGGTTTTCCTTCCTTCTCACCCTGCCTCCCTCACATCCTCTTGTGTCACTTTTTTTTTTTTTAAAAGATCTATTTGTTTTATTGGAAAGGCAAATTTGTAGAAAGAGACAGAAAGATCTTCCATCTGCTGGTTCACTCCCCAAGTAGCCTCAACAACTAGAGCTGAGCTGAGCCAAAGCCAGGAGCCTCCACTGGGTCTCCCACATGGTTGCAGGGTCCCCAGGCTTTGGGCTGTCCTCCATTGCTTTCCCAGGTCACAAGCAGGGAGCTGAAAGGGAGGTGGAGCAGCCGGGACACAAATGGGCACCCATATGGGATCCTGGGGAGTGCAAGACAAGGACTTTAGCCACTAGGCTACTGCAACAGTCCTTTGTGTCACTTCTTATGCCATGACAGGAGCAATCCTACAGCAAAAACCTTCACCGTGAGGAGCTGCTGTCTCCTGCTATTAGCTGTGAGTTTATAAGCAGATCCTCCCTCCTAATCAAGCTTCTAAGTGTCTATAGTCCCAGTCAGTATCTTTACTGTGACCCTAGCCAGACCCTAAGCCAGAACCACTCACCTATGCTGCCTGGATTCCTGCCCCTAAGCCAGTAGAAGGTAATAACTAATTATTGTTTTAACCTCCCATGTCCAGGTAATTTGTCATTTAGCACTGGATAACTGACATAATCATTGTCTCCAACCTCTACATATTTGATGTGTGAGTTTAAAGGTTGTCTAGGCCATTGCATTCCCACTAATATTTTATCATAAAATACCAAGAAGTTAGGTGGATTCAGTTAGAAACAGGGGACTGTATTCAACTGTTCACTTGGATATTGGTGGTCTGCAACCACAGTGGTTATAGGGGGAGGCGATGCATGCTGTTTCCTGACTTGTCCTTATCTGTTAACAGAGCCATGGCGCAGTAACCCGCGCTCCTTTAGTCCTGGAGTTCCTCCTGCTGTGGATGTAAGATCCATGCTTTTACCATTTGACCTAATGAGAAAGGACCAAGATACCCAAACACAGATGTTCACAAACATATTGTTTCTAATAACACTGATAGCTGACATTCATTGAATGGCTTACTATGTGGCAAGTTCTAGTCTCATGATAGGCACTTAGTCACTTATTTGTACTCCCATTGTATAGTTTACAGAACTGAGGCACTAAAAGGATAAACCAGGGATTACAATCACTTAGTGGCAAAGCTTAGATGTGAACTAACCCATTGTCAGCCACTATGTTAAAAGTATCATAAAAAATAAATCTTACCAAAAAGTCTCGTGATGTGCAAGTTTCAAAAACTCACAAGAAGACAGAGCATTCTAAGGGTTAATACCCACCAAGGAAAACAAATGGAGTAGCAGCAAGGTAAATATTATCTTCTTTCTGATTATGTTCCCCTAACTCTGGGAGGAACTTTGTAAAATGTTTGTAAATTCAGAAATTTTTTTTCTGGGGGTAGAACTCACTTCACACTCCCCTTTCTTGAATAAACTGTCCAGAACGCCCATCTGGGACTTAGACCCAAGTTCTCTGTACCCTACTCTATACTGTCCAGCTCGGTAATAAAGCAAAACTATCCTCCCACGGTTCCATTAGCTACATACATTTCCACCCTCCTCCTAGTCCCACCAAGGCCTCTGCAGTGACGAGAGGTCTTCCTCGCCTCCCAGCCAGTGCTCCTACATGAGCAGGTCACACTTGGATAGGAGTCAGCAAAAGCCCAGCTCAGGAGCATAGCGACCCTTCCAGGGGCAAGCAAGGTGTGAGGCGCAAACACCTGGCCTTGGCACCTGGCAACAATTGTGCCTTTGGATCTCAGCTCTCTACTGGGCACAGGGCAAGGCGCTCCACACGCCAAGTCCTGCCTAGACACCAGGGAATTGACAGGATCCAAGCTGGGGCACAGCAAGGCCCTGGTATGCAGAAAACCGTCAATCGCTGCTGAACGTGGAATGAACAAATGCTCGCTGCTGAAATGCTCATTTCAGTCACAGATCTACTCACAATAAAATTGTGCCACACAAACATCAGGCCAGGATGCGTAACAGCGACCTCAGCATAGGTGAGCCCATCAATGTCAGGTTTCCTTTTAAAGTAAACGGGTAGGGGCAGGTGTTCAGTCCCTGCTTGGAATGCCTACAGCCGAGACGGGAGTGCCTGGGGCCACGTCTTGGCTCGGCTTCCAATTCCAGCCTCCTGTTTCCGCACATCCCAGGGAGTACTTGGGTCCCTACTTCGCAGAGATGGTCACCCACTTCCCCTACTCTGTCCCGGCTCAGCCCTCGATGTTGTGGGCATTTGGGGTGCGAAGGACCGATGACTTCCCTCTCTCTCTCTCGGCTTTTCAAATAAATGAAAATAAATAAATAAAATAAATATAAGGTAACTGAAACTTTGGTGTGTTGGAACCCAGCGTCAGGTGACACCCCTAGTGGTGTCTTGGAGTTTTTATTAACTTACAGCACCTCCTCTTTTAAAGCGTGGGCTATTCCACACAAGTGAAAGCTTCTACATCTTCCGTGCTGTTTGTGGGTTTAATTAGAAAACGCGTCACGCGGATGGCTTTTCTCTGTTCAGGAAGGAGCTCGAGCTGAGGAGAAGCCAACGCCGGTGCTAGGGACCCACTTGCCTGGTAGCTCCGCCCCCAACAGTACGGACTACATCTCCCACCGGCCTCTTCGGGTGCGCTCGTCAGGCGGGGGAGTTCCGTCCGCCCCAAGGCGGCCATTCACTCGCCTGTCGCAGTGACGGCGATCCGTGAGGTTCCAGAAGGGAGGCGGGACTTCCGCTCCGCCGGGCGCTCGTCAGGCAGGAGGCGGAAGCGTGGCGGAGGCGGTAAGCTTGTAGTGCTCCGGGAGGCGACATTGGTCTGGAGTGGTCGCGCCCCCTTGGCCGCGCGGCTGCCCTCGCGTGCCGGGTGAGTGGGATGGATCCCCGACGCCGGCCGCGAGTGGAGGCGTGCGGCTCCGCCAGCTGCTGGACAGCGCCTCCCCGCTGACCTTGCCCCCGACCAAGCTTCCGTCCCTTTTCTTGGTCTTGCCCGGCCTGCCCACCGGGTCCTTGGGCGGGGACCCTTGAGATGCTCAGGTTCAGCCCGGCTCCTTGCGCGGAGGGCTCTGTCGTCCTGAGTTCCTGATGGGCAGCTTTCCCCGGCTCGGGCATGGGTCGCCGCGTGGTTCTCCACTCGCGAGGCGCCGGGCTCGCCTTGGAGAGGGCGCGTTTGTCAAGCTGGTTTGCAGGGGTTGCTTGAGTAGGACTCTGTAATTCCCACTGTGTTGTGGTGCGCCCCCCCCCGCACCTTCTTCTTGGGATCCATGTAGGATTTCATGCAAAAAAGCAGGATATTGGTCACCCCAGCTGCCCTGAGTGGTTTGTGACCCTGGACAGAGGCACCCCGTCTCTGCAATGGTGGTAGAAAAAAGGGACCGATTGCCCGCGTTTTACTGGACAGTGGAGGGTAGGTACTGGAGACATGTGAGGCTGGCGATGTTTTAAATGGATAGCGAGGTGCCTAGAGGAGAGATTTTTTTTTTTTTTTCTTCTAGCACTGAGCTCATATGGACGCCTGTCAATTGGCCTGCTGGTATATATGTTAAAGACCGAATACTGTTGAATGTTGGCATTGATACCACGGAGAGTAAACCATTCATGTTCCTGTTCATCAAAGGCTGAAAGCCTGTAGAGATTTTTGGATTTACGTATTGAAAGGCAGCATTAGAGTGTGTGAGCTTCCATTCTCTGATTCACCCCCGACATGGCCAAGGTTGGACCAGGCTGAGGCCAGGAGCCGAGCTCCATCCACCTCTCCAGTATCGGTGGTAGGGGCTCAGGTGCCAGGGCCGTCTTCTGCTGCTTTGCTAGGTGTGTCAGGGAGCTGGGTTAGCAGTGGCAGCAGCTCAGATCTGAACCAGCCTGGCTTTGCAGGTAGTGGCTTGACTTGCTATGCCACCGCATTGTCTCCGGAGTATTGATTTCTAATTTAAGCCTGTGCTTTTCCAAATGAGACTTTCTGGAGAGATTAACTGCATAAAGAAGCCACAACTAGATCAGCTGTTGTTCCTGACAACTTTTCGTTGTGGTGAGAGCATGGTATTATACATCGGTATATATGTGCATGTATATACAGATATGCATTTGTTTTGCAGGTGATTGTGAAGTGGTGAGTAATTGCCACTGAATGTAATTGGGACAGCAGATCCAAGATGGCAGCAAACCCTTCAGGACAAGGTAATTAATGCATGCTGAAATTTCTGTTATTACTGGAGATTTTTTTCCTTATAGTAATGTATTTGAAGAAGAGAATAATTCTCACAGAGCAGTTTAGAATACCCACAATTGAAAAATGATCAGGACTGTGATATAGGTAACCCAGGGTCAGGAGCACCTGGATTACCTTTAACTCATTGGAGTGCCCGGGTTCGAGTCCTGTTTCCACTTTTGATTCCAGCTTGCTGCTCATGCACATGCTGAGAGAGCAGTGATGGCTTGAATCCTTGAAGCTTGCCACCGATGTTCCGGACTCCACGGTTTGACTTGTTACACCACAACACCAGCTCTTTCTCCTGTTCTTGCTTGCTTCTTATTTTTCTTCACAGCATCTTTCTTATCATATGTGTAATATGTTCCTTTTCTCTGGCTGCTTTTAGGATTTTTTCTTTGTGTTTCAGCATTTTGTCTCTGTTATTATTATTATTATCATTATTATTATTTATTGTTGTTGTTATATATTGTCATTTATTGAGTTGCAGTGGCCCAAGGACTTGAGCCATCCTATACTGCTTTCTTAGGCTGTTAGCAGGGAGCTGGATAGGAAGTGGATCCGCAGGGACTCAAATCACCGCCCACAGGGGATTCTGGTGTTGCCAGTAGAGACTTGACCCACTTGCTACCACACCAGCCCCAGGTTATGTAATGCTCTGACTTCATGTCTGCCAATGGTTTTTGCCATCTCCAATTTGCTGCTAAGTCAATTCAGTGGATATTTTGTTTGATTCATTGTACTGTTTTAGCTCTAGAACTTCTACTTGGTTATTTTCAGTAGTTCCTATATTTCTAGCTAAAATGCCCCTTTTCTTTACTATGGATCTATGGTCCTTAACTCCTTCACTGGTGAGTGCGTTGTCGGCATTACTCTTCTGGAATTGGTTTTTGTTGACTGTTCTTTGGTCGCTTGTGGGTTATGGGTCATGTTTTTCCTTTTCTTCCTCTGTTTTTTTTTTTTAAGATGTTATTTATTTTTATTGGAAAGTCAGATATACAGAGAGGAGATGAGACAGAGGAAGTTATTCCATCTGCTGATTCACTTCCCAAGTGACTGCAACAGTCAGAGCTGAGTCAGTCTGAAGCCAGGAGCCAGGAGCTTCCTCTGGGTCTCCCAGGGGGGTGCAGGTTCCCAAGGCTTTGGGCTGTCCTCAACTGCCTTCCCAGGCCACAAGCAGGGAGCTGGATGAAAAGTGGGGCTGCCAGGATTAGAACAAGCGCCTATATGGGATTCCAGCATGTGCAAGGTGAGGACTTTAGCCACTAGACTACCGCTCTGGGCCCATGACTTGTTCTTAAATGTGGACATTGTGACATTGATTGTAGACTCTGGATTTTGTTGTGTTCTGCTGAGATGTGGTGTTTGTTCCAGAAGACAGCTTGGGCTAAACTCGAGTTCCGTGGCTTCTCTTGTGTTGGGCAGCAACTGAAAGCTTGCTTAATTTTTTCAGTCTCAGCTGCTGTGTTATTGCCGGGGCCCTTGGGTCTCTGCTGCATGTGTGAAGTTTGGCAGTGAGAGAGAAATTGGGGTGGATTTCACTTGCACAGATAATATAACCTTTATTCCTGCTGGCTTTTCTTTTCATTTCTCTTCTTGAATTTTTGGTTGCTCTGCCAGTGCTGAGTCCTATATTTGAAGCCTCAGACTTGTTAAAGAGAGGCTAGAGCTGTTTCTGGGCTGTGGAGTTCATCAGGAAGAAGGGCGCAGGTGTCAAATCCTGTCAGTTATCATTTCTGCCTTGTTGCTGTTAGTTCAGTCTCCAGTGCCTTTAAAGAAGTAATTTTAATATTTTACTGAGATTTGAGACATATTCTACTAGTACCAGGTTTGTGCTGGTCCTGTTCTAGTTTGTAAATTCTACTTAGAACAAAGTAAAGGTTTCTCAGGTATGAAGGAAGTGTAGGACAGGTTGGACATGTCTAACTAAAAACCCTGAAATATAAAATGCTCTGAAATCCAGGACTTTCTGAGTGCCACTATGGTGCCACAAGTGGAAAATTGCATATCAGGCTTCATGCTGGAGGTGGCAATCAAAATTTAGCCATGTTAAAAATATTGAGTGAATTTATCCAAAGGCTGTTGTATAAGGTTCACGTGAAGCATGTGCATTCTGTATGTAGACCTGAGCCCGTCCCCAGGATATCTCGTTTTATATATGCAGATGTTCCAAAACTTGAAAAAGGCCAAAGTCTGCCACACTGAGTCTCAAGCTTCGGATAAAGAACACTCACCCCATGTTGTGACAGGCCGGCTCCTCCTGACAGCTTTGCCAGCTGACACCGCGTCGTGCGCCTGTCGGATAACCAGCTATGCTTTGTGTGCTCTGTGTATTCATCACAGTCAGCATTTCTTGTGCCCTTTGACCTCTTTTCACCATTAAGTCATAAGGACTCAGATTGAAAAGGCTCTAGCTGGTTTGGACTTGTGGTGGTGCGTGTGAAGCTGCCGCCTACAAAGCTGGCATCCCCTGTGGGTGCCAGTTCAGCTCCTGGCTGCTCCTCTTGTGATCCAGCTCCCTGCCGGTGGTGTTGTGGCAAGGGCTCCTGCCCCCAGCGTGGGAGCTGCACGTGGAGCTCCTGGCTTCAGCATGGCTCAGCCCTGGATGTGGCGGCCATCACATGGAAGATTTCTCTCTATTTATGCAAATACATAATCTTTGTCTTAAAAAGGAAAAAAATTGAATAGGAGTCAACGTAAAAACTGAGGAAGGAATGAAGTCTATTTTGGAGAGAAGACAGGCTGCTAAAAAACACACAATGTGGTCCAAATGCAAGCAATTTTTTTGTTTCTCTGTTCTATTAACACAAATAATCAAGATTTACTGTTGATGGTTACTGTTTTTTTTCAGCATTTATCGTAAAAACATAAACATTTTGGCATTGTCTTTCATTCATCCTTAGTTACACCCACTATGACAGATCCCAAGTCTAAATAGAAAACAATTTAGATTGGTCCTGTGGCTTTCATGGTTCTTTCCTCAGTGGTTTTGTGGATATCATAGAGTTGTTGCTGTTAGGGACCAGCAGAGGGCGTCTGTGTCATGCTCTGCAGACTACTGGATTCTTAGTGACAATTTTTTCCATTTCTTATTCAGATCGATCCTATTTTGCTGTGTTAGATTATTTCTGAATAGCATTCATGTGTACCAGTATGGCATTTCAGTGTCAGATGCTTTAATTATCTTAAAATAGCTGGGGAAAAAAACCTTTCAAAACCAGTCATGATCTGTGTACTGTGATTTGTTAACGTTTCTGGTGCTAGAGCCTAGAATCCCATTGTGTTCATGAGCCCTCTCTCAGATGCAGTCCTGTCCTGCAGTGGTAGTCATCAGGACTGCTAATTTCACGGAGGTCACAGAACCTCATATTCTTGATAGCATCCAGTGTAACTGGAACATTTGGTAGGGTCTTAATATTTGATTGATAAGCAGTAACATTTTGAGAATTTTAATACATGGACACAGACAAACTGGGATTTGGCCAGGATACTATTTGTGTGTCTCACTGTGTTGGAAGCATTCTTTATTGCTCAATATGGCAGCTGGATTGTTCCCATTTGACTTTAGAAAGACCAGTGAGGTACATGAGTAATGAACTTGAATTGTCTTCAGTTGTTTTGTATTTATGTGAAACTGCTGATAGTGGTAACTGAAAGACTTGCAGATAGGTCATGGGCAATGTTAGTTTGGGGCCGCTCTGGATGCTCCCAGCTGTGTAGGAATGGCTGGGCACAGCGGCTGGGGGTTTCTGATTGACTTTTACACATCTTAACCTGAACCACTTGTGAGCCACAGGAAAGAGGACTTACACGACAGACTCAGCTAGGCTTTGCTCCCCCTCCTTTAAGCTTCATTAGATTTATTGTACTGATTCTTAGAAACCACCTTTTTTTTATTTAAAGATTTATTTATTTTTATTGGAAAGTCAGATATACAGAGAGGAGGAGAGACAGAGAGGAAGATCTTCCGTCCATCCGATGATTCATTCCCCAAGTGAGCGCAACAGCCGATGTATGCCGATCCGAAGCCAGGATCCAGGAACTTCCTCCAGGTATTCCACATGGGTGCAGGGTCCCAAAGCCTTGGGCCGTCCTCGACTGCTTTCCCAGGCCACAAGCAGGGAGCTGGATGGGAAGCGGGGCCGCTGGGATTAGAACTGGCATCCATGTGGGATCCCAGGGCGTTCAAGGCAAGGACTTTAGCCACTAGGCCACGCCGCTGGGCCCTAGACACGACCTTTTAAATTGTTTGTGTTTCTTTTTAAAGATGAGACTGTGGATAGAAAGGCAAAATTTGGAACAAGCTTTTAAAAGCTACATTGCTTTGTTTTTCATTTTTAAAATATTGATAAAACAGAATGGCAGGTTCTCTGTTTCATTTTATTTGAAGGGGTGAATGGAAACAGAAACAAAGAGGTTCACTCCCTGAATGCCCACAACATCCAGGGTAGGGGCAGGCCAAAAGCCAAGAGCCTGGCACTCAGCTTGAGTCTCCTGTGTGGATGGCAGAGACCCAAGTGCTTGACTGTCACCTGCTGCCTGCCAGGGTGTGCTTAGCAGGAAGCTGGGTTGGAAGTGGAGCAGGCAGGACTCAACCCAGGCACTGAGCTAGGACATGGAGGCAATTCAAGAGGCAACTGGATGGTGCCAAATATGCTCTCTCCGATTTCTTTATTATTATTATTATTATTTCATTTTAACTGCCAAGGCAAAGAAAATAAATTAGATTTCTGATGCTAGGGTGAACCTAAACCCAGGTTGAAACTAGGTCAAGGTAAAATCTGATATAAAGTAACTCAAGATCTGTTGTTTGTTAGGAAAGAGATCTATTCAGACTAGTCCGGGAGGTGTTTACTGTGAGGTCTGCATGCTAAGCAATTGTACCCAGAGGCCTATAAATTGGTGGCTGGTACTGGCATTCGAACTTGATTCAGCTTACTGGGAACCAGCATGCTTTCTAAAATTTTGGTTCCTTTTTAATGAAAAATCTGTTCCACATGATTTGATGATAAGGAAGAAGGACCTTTTCCTGGATATTTAAGGGCTCAAGTTATTAATGATAGTCCAATTTAACTCAAATCTTTTAAAATTTTTTTTTTACCATTTTTATTCATTATACGGTTCCATTCACCAGCACTATTACATGGACATACATCTTTTGATATGAAGCATCCTCTTGTAGGAATGCCTCTTCCCACCCTTGTTTTGATTACTCGGCAAAACACGGTAAAATGAGCAATGGGGTAGAATACATGTGATCAAAGTTCAACATATCTTGGAATATTTTTATAGCATGTGAAAATTTTCTTCTGTTAAAGCCACGTGGGGACAGGCTTTTGGCTTAGCAGTCAAGATGCCCTTGGATGTCCACAACCCATGTCCAAGTGCCTGGGTGTGAGTCCCAGTTTTGGCATGCTGCTAATATAGCAGTGATGACTTAAATGATTGGATGCCTGCTGGCCGTGTGGGAGAGTCAGATTGAGCTCCTTTTCCCTGGCTTCGGCTTAGCTGATGTCAGCATTTGAGGAGTGAACCAGCGAATGGGAGTGTTTCTCACAAGTGAAATAAGTAAATGAATAGTTAGTTTTCAAAGCCATACAAATAATTTCCAGTCAATATCCAAACATATGAGCTTTCTATCTTAAAATCATTTGTTTTCATTTATAGCAGACTCTTTAGTCTATGCATTTTTAGTACTTCTGGAAATTAGTCTGGAAATTCACAGTGCTAATTTTAAATAGTTTTTAAAATTCTTATAGAATGGGTTTTTGTGTCATTTATTTTCTAATCCTCCCATGCCAGCTCACTTCAATGTCTTTGGGGAAAAAAAAAAAGGATTTTATTTAAGTTTATAAATGTTAAAGGGAGTTGAAAAGCTCAGTTGTGTTTGTACAAATTTCAGTGGACATTATCCATCAGATTAAGGCATTCTCCAATGTTGGCTGCAATTCCTACAACTTCTGCATTTGGAAATTAAAATTACTGTGGGAGGACAGTTGATTGGATGTACAAAACAGAGAGATACTTCCAGGCAAGGGTGTGGAAACAATTGATGGGTTCCATAGACAACTTATGGGAACTCACATAATCTCAAGTCAGCTCCCTGTGGTTGATATGTAAATTCCTCAAACCCTCCTTCCTTATTCTGTGTGACCCTCAGTCTATAAAAGCCTAATGCTACCAGTAGACCTCAGCTGTTAACTGTTGTCAGTAATCCATGTGTGATTATTGGCTCTGTGCACCAAATCCATTGCTGCCAGACAGCAAACAATTGGCGCCCGAACAGGGACTTGAAAGCAGGTAGAAAGTGCAGTGGAGACCCCCATAGAAAGGTAAGAGGGAATAATGGGCCAAAATCAACATAGAGCGCACTGTTTTATCTTGTACAGAACTTTTTAGTGAAAAGTGGAGCAAAGATAACTAGGCAGCAGTTGCATTCTTATTTAGAGGTTATTTGTGAATATAATCCTTGGTCCCCAGATGAAGGGACACTAGAAACTGAATTTAAGAATTTTAACCAGAAAAAAATGGTGAAAAGGCCCAAAGAATAGAAGATATTCATACTAGTTTTAGGATTACATGGGCTTTAATTAAATCCACTATTATGATTTTAGAAGAGAAACCTGCGAAAGACTCCTCTAAGAGGAGACACCACTGAAATGTGGCTAAAAAGAAAATACCTCATAGTGCAGATGAGGAGGATGGAAAAGGGGAATGTGTGAGAGACTCCCCTAATAGGAGATTCCACCGTAATGTGACTGAGAAAGAAATGCCTTATACTACTGATGAGGAAGATGAAAAAGCAGAATGTGTGAGAGACCATCCTAACAGGAGATGCCATCCTACTGCAGCTGAAAGAGAAAGGGCTTATGCTACAGATGAGGAAGACAGAAAAGGACAACTCAGGGAAGAGTTCCCTAATGGGAGATGCCAACTGTAATGCAGCTGGAAAAGAAATTAAAGCTTCCCAGGTTAAAATAACAAAATTGCAGGACTTCTCAGAATCTTCTAGTGAGGAAAATGAGGATGGGATAAAAGAACATTTAAGTACCAGCCCATGCCATGTCACCCTTAGACCTGGCCAAGGACATGCCCTAGTATTTGCTATTTCCTGGAGACCTCATGAGATATGATTGCTTTTCCCAGTTACACTGAGCCAAGAAAATAATCAGCCTGCATGTGAGAATCTAGACTTTAACACCATCACAGCTTTTAAGAAAGCTTGTGCGTTCTATAGACCCACTTCTTCATGTGGGTGGGAATATTTAAATGGCTGGAGTCAGCCATTTAGATTGGATTCCCTATGATTTTGAAGTAATAACAAAAACAGGGCTTTCTCCTCAATGTTTACAATGGAAAATGTGGAGGAGTGATATGGCTAAGGAAAGCTTGCGATCCCTAGGACCAGCAGGTCGACAACTCCCCAGGGAGGGGAAAGTGACTTATGATATGTTTGGAGATGGGCATTGGAGTACTACAAAGCACAAGTACAACTACCTCAAGCTGGGTTCACCCATATATGGGATACAGTGCTATGGGCCTGGGAGAAATTGAAACTGGATTTGAATTTGCAGACAGTTATACAGAAGTCATCCAGGGGGCTTATGGTTTATGCTGACTGTATAGGACACTTCACTGACTCCATAGAAAAGTAAGTCCTAGGTGATAGTACTAGAAAACTGTTACCCGGGCACCTAGCCTTTGATACTGCCAATGAAGAGTGTCAGGCTGTTGTTGTCCAGTAAGAGACAGAAGATCTGAAAGCCTGTCTCAACAAAGGCCCATTCAAACATTGTGCTCCCTTAGCAGCGCTTGAAACCTTTCCTAGTCAAAAATGCTAAATGCTTTAATTGTGGAAGCCAGGTCACCTTCATAAGCAGTGTTGAGCATCTTATTTAACTCAAAAACATGGTGCTAATGGGCCTGGCGCGGTGGAGCAGTGGTTAAGGTCCTCGCCTTGCACGCCAGGGATCCCATATGGGCGCCGGTTCTAATCCCGGCAGCCCCACTTCCCATCCAGCTCCCCGCTTGTGGCCTGGGAAAGCAGTCGAGGACGGCCCAATGAATCATCGGACAGAGGATCTTCCTCTCTGTCTCTCCTCTCTGTATATCCGCCTTTCCAATAAAAATAATAAAATAAATCTTAAAAAGACACATGATGCTAATACTGCAAACAATAATTCCCCTGGAATATGCCTTAAATGTCATTGAAGCTGATATTGGGAAAAAGAGTGTAAATCTAAATTTGATCGTGATGACTGATGCCTGTGGCCGGGAAACTGATGGTGGGGCATCAGAGGTTTACAAAACACCAATATCCTTAATACCTGTTGTTGTCTTAAAGCCTCATATGTGCTACTCACCCTTCAGGTGTAAATCCTGGAGGACAAAATTCTAATCAATTATGGCAAATGGATGCTATTCATATATCACTTTCTCCTTAACCAGTGTGCTAATTTTTTTTATTTCCTTTTTTTATTATTGTTATCATTATCTGATACAGTTCCATAGGCTCTGGAATTTCCCTTCCTCCCTCTCCAAGTATCCTCCCTTCCCCACTGAGTTCCCTGTATTATTACTATAGTATAGTTCTTCACAAACAGTCATACATCCATCATTGTAGGCATGGCATGGACAGTGGCAGGGAGTCCAGCATACTATTGTCAAGATAGAGTAAACAATTTCATTGGGAGTCCATCTTTGGTCTGGAAGTAGAGATGCATAATAGATTGTATTCTTAAATCTGGATACGATAGTCTCCATTACACAGTTACTGTACATCCCCTTGAATGAAAAGCCACAATACAAAATCAACAACAGGAAGAAAAAAGAAATTAACAACACCATGAGGTTAAATAACATGCTACTGAATGACTAATATGTCACTGAAGAAATGAAAATCAATAATCTTCTTGAAGAAAATGATGCTGCTGTGTGATCTATGGGTCAGTGAAGAATTTAATGAGAGTTTTGAAGAGATGAAACTAAAAACAAAGAAATCAAATTCCTTGAGATACAGTTTCCTCTGATCTTTATTGGTGAGATGTCTTCTGTAGGCAACAAATAGATGGGTTTTGTTTTTTAATCCAGCCTATTCATCTATGACGTTTGATTGATGAGTTTAAGCCATTTACATTCAGGGTTAATATGAATGGGTGGTAATTTGGTCCTGTCGTTTAGCAATGGGTTATTCATTGATTTAGGCTTCTATTGTATTTTATTGGGATGTTCTTCACATGTGCCTTTAGTTTTGGTGGGCGTTATTCCTTTTCTCTTTCAAGAGAACATCTTTAAGTATCCTTTGTAGAGCAGGTTTGAAAGCATGATACCTTAGTGCTTAGAATTCTTTATAGTTTGCAATAGGCATCATTGTATTATATTCTGGAAAATAACCATTTGGGAAAGGGGTGGATAGTGAGTCTAATATGTTGCAGAACAGGAATTTTGTTTTCTGCATCTTCTACAGCCTCGTCTTTATACATGATCTACGATCTTTATTTCTCTTTTTTTCTTTCTTCATCTTTTTTTCAGGTTTTCAAAACAAAAACAGAGTTGCGATCTTAGCAGAGCTGGACAAGGAGAAAAGAAAATTGCTTATGCAGAACCAGTCTTCAACAAACCATCCTGGAGCTGGGTATTGAATCCTAATTGTGGTGCTAATATGAATCATAGTTTTTAAGAGAATAGAGGAAAATATTTACGTTACTTTGTTAAGCATACATATCTTAATAATTTTTTTCATGGTTGGTGAGAGAAAAGATTTATTAGACTAATTCAAAATGGTTGGCAGTGGTTTCTTAAACGCTGCCATATATGTGTTGTGTTTTGTTTCTGTAAGGAAAGCTACACTTTATGTGTTCTAATTCTTAATTGGGACAGGCCCTGTAACAAAAGCAATTAATAAGGATTTTAAAATAAATTTATGAATGCTTGCTATGCATTTCATGTATCACTTAGAAACCTCAATGAAGAATACGTCAGAATGATGGAAAATGCTATAACACTTATAGAGAGCGTCTTCTGCAAAGAACAGTACTGAGTGGAGAAATGCAAGCCAAGGAGCGTGCTTTGGGGAGGTGATCTGTGGGAGGAAAGTGACGGAAGTGGGTTTGTTTGCACAGTCCTCTGCCATGCCGGCCGGGCTGATAGGAGGCTGGTGTTGTCGCCAGGAACAGAGGATTTATATCCTGTCTTGTCGAGGATGGAGACAGTTTTCTCCTGTTTGCTGCTATTTAATTGCTTTTAGTTAAAAAATAATTTTTATGTCAAGGATATTTTGTGTTAACATACGCTGGCTTTTGAAGACTTTTAAAAATCAGACTGTTACAGTAGTTAAATTTAAAATATTCTAATCATAATATATAATTTTCTGTACAACCCTCTTTGGAAAAATGAATCTTATGTAAGATTTTTGTAACAGATTATTACCAGTGATCTATGTTGTAAGCGCTCTACAAAGTAGGTCAGATTCAAGTGGCTTAATGATCTGTATTATTTTCAGTATCTGCCGTATTCAGTATTTTCCCTCATATCTATTTTGTCAATCAGCTGCCACCCTCCTAACTTCTCTTTTTCTCACTCTCGTTTCTGTTGTCAACTGTTTCTCTCTTGTTGACTTCTCAACCCACTGCAGTCTGACTTGCAGCTCCCCTTCTCCCTCCGTCAAACTCTGTCCTTGCCTGGGCGCCGCAGAGCAGCCCATTAAATTGCCACTCCGACGCCTGTGTCCCATAGTAAAGTCCCTGACATGGCACCTCCATGTACAGACCAGCTCCCTACTAGTGCACTCCAGAGAGGCAACAGGCCATGTCCTAAGTACTCGGGTCTCTGACTCGAAATCTCAAGTTTTCACCCAATTTGGAAACCCAGATGGACAGCCCCAACTGTTGTGGGAGTAAGCCAGTAGACAGAGGATATCTCCACCCCCTCTCTGCGCTTGTTGTTCTACCTTTCAAATAAATAATCAACTTGTAGAAAGAGAATATTTTCGTGCCTGTATCATTTAGAATCTCCTGGCAGCCAGATCTGGCAGAGCAAAGTCCTTTCCTTACCACACTTTGTCATTTTTCTTTTTCTTTTTTAAAGATTTATTTGTTTGTTTATTATTGGAAAGTCAGATTCACAGAGAAGAGAGGAGAGACAAAAACAAAAGATCCTCCATCTGATGGTTCACTCCCCAAGCAGCTGCAACTGCCATAGCCAAGCTGTTCAGAAGCCAGGAGCTCCTTGCTTGTGGCCTGCGAAGGCAGTACAGGACAGCCCAGGGCCTAGGGACCCTGCACCCACATGGGAAACCCGGAAAAATAAATGAATCTTTGAAAAAAAAAATGTAGTTAGTGGGAGAAAGACTTAACTCTACATGGTCTTTTTATCCTTGTAAAGGATATATAATGAAAAGTGTGATTTGGAGAGAAGGACGACTCCTCAGGAGGGTCATGGCACAGTCTGGTGACTAGTTGATGACACATTGTGTACTTGAAAATCGCTGAGAGAATACATCTTTAATGTTCTCACAGCAGACGAATGGTAAGCACGTGAAATGATGGCTATATTTATAAGCTTATCATTTCACAGTGAATACAAGTGTCACAACATCACACTGTACACTAACCACATACGGTGGAAAGAATAAGCGTGTCAGGCTCAGCATGGTAGCTAAGCGGCCAAGGTCCTCGTCTTGCACGCGCCGGGATCCCATATGGCTGCCACTTCATGTCCCAGTGGCTCTGCTTCCCACCCGGCTCCCTGCCTGTGGCCTGGGAAAGCAGTGGAGGACGGCCCAAAGCCTTGGGAGCCTGCACCATCATGGGAGACCCAGAGAGGCTCTTGGCTTTGGATTGGTTGCTGTGGCCACTTGGGAGAGTGAATCAGCAGACGGAAGATATTCCTCTGTCTCTCCTTCTCTCTGTATATCTGACTTTGCAATACAAAATTTTAAAAAATGAGTAAGCGTGTCTGCCTCAGGCAACTGATTGACTTCCACTGCCTTTTAGTATTGCACTCTCGAGGCCGGCTCTGAACAAGGACTTCCGGGATCACGCCGAGCAGCAGCACATTGCCGCCCAGCAGAAGGCAGCGTTGCAGGTGAGCCTGCGGTCGCTGACATTCTGTCTCAAGCTGTTCCACGGTTTAGAAGCCAGCACAGTTATATTGTGTTGCAGTGGAATTTCAGTGGTACATAAAGCTGTACCACACATAATTACAATGGTTTGCTGATATTCAGTATGGCCAAAGGGTTTGAAGGACCAAATCAGCAATAATTGAGAGTGATCTGTATGATGCTGACCTGGTCATGGTTGAGTTGGGGCTGGGCCTGCAAAGGGATGGTTTGAGAACCAAGAGTTTGGGATAAGTGCTTTAGCTACTTTGTTTGAAAACTTATGATCCTCATAGCTTAATTGCCTTTTTTTTACTCTTTCTCAGCATGCTCATGCACATTCATCCGGCTACTTCATAACTCAAGACTCCGCGTTTGGCAATCTGATTCTTCCTGTCTTACCCCGCCTTGACCCAGAGTGAAGAGACGGTGATGGCAGCGACTGACGGTAAATGCCAAAGCTCCTCTCAGTGCTGTTCAAACTGGAACTTTCAGAATTCTGGTGAACTTTTTTTTTTTTTTCTCGCCTCTTTGAAAGAAATGAACATGTACATGAAGACAGAAGGAAGGGCAGTGCAGATGAGAGCTTGGGATGACCCATCCGAGGCCTGGACTGTGCTGCCTAGGTCTGTAACTTTTTTTGTAACATCATTTGATTTTGATCTGTAAACCCCACCAAACTGTAGGTTACCTAAAATCACTCCCAGCCTCCCACAAGTTTGTCTGAATGTGTCATATCCGCCACAGCAGACGGTCAGGCACCACTCAACTTGCTTAACTTCACACGGGTACCTTCCAAAACTTCACACGCAGTAGGCTTATTTAATTTATTTAAGTTCCATTCATCTTTGGTGTATAAGATTGATGTCATTGCACCGTTTCAGCTGATAGGCACATGTGTATCATCTTGAAATGCTTTGTATAATCATAACTACTTCCTCTCTTCTCAATTTTGAAAGGAAAATCAAGATAAGACTAAATTACCAGTCTTAAACATCTTTTGTAAATATATGCCATTGTCAGCAATGTGACTAAATGCTGTCAGATATAACAAATGTGACTCTAACATTTATACACGATTGAGTGGTACTACATAAGTGACACAACTGCATAGTTATGTCCATTTTTGGTCCAATTAAAAAGTTACTATGCATGTTTATCCTTTTTCATTTACTTTAATTAGGAACGAATTAAGCTTATCAGTATGACCCTTCTTGAACAGATCTAAGGTGCCTACTTAAATATGCAGTCCTAAAAAACAAAGGACAGTCCTTACTCCCCTGCTCTGGTGTTACAGAATTAGAATCTGATTGAAAATAAAGACTGAAAACTATGGGTGAGAGTCTGTATAACATAAACACTTCATAACATCTTTATACATCACGGATTGTAGATCCCTGACACTTGGAGGTCATTTAACTAAAACCTACATTCCTCCTTTTAGTAGGACTGAAATTGTGCTTTATACTGTATCGCAGACACAGAATTTTATCTAGCTTTTTATAATTGACTGATGTTGGTTGGATCCCTGTCTTGTCTTGTGCTAGGAGAAAATGTAAACTTCTGAATTCAGGCTTTCGTAGAGTTTCTCTTCCTCGCCCTCGTTCCCTGGATTTCTTTGTGGACCACACAGGCCCATCCCACCCAGACCTAGTGTAGCGGAAGTGGACAGTTCTAAAACTGGTCATACTGTGCAGCGTCTCTGGGGAATGTGAGCTGATTTCCTTTGTTGAGTAGGTTGGTAACCGCCCTTCCTCACAGTCACCTGGCAGTGGGTGGAGCCCGCCAAGAGAGTCCCGAGGACCGTTGGCTGATCTCCCAGCTGCTCTGTGGGCCTCCTCCTTGCAACAGAAGTTCACTGAGTTTCCATCTGTGTGATTCACATCGTGGCATCCTGGGTCTAAGCCTGTTTATTGCTGTTGGGGGCCATAACACATCTATGGCAGTGTGCGGTCCTGAAGCCCCTATCTACTGTGTGATTTGTGCAATGAGGTCAAGAGATCTCTTTTCCAGTGCTCTATTTTCTAGTCTTAGCGTATTAAGTTCATCTTACCTGAATCAGCAAGGCTTGGTTCAGCAGCACCCTCCCACTCATGTTCTGAGTTCAGTTCAATTCCATGTGTATTTATTTATACCAACTCTTAAAGCTCTGCTTTTAGGGGACAAGAAGCTAAGTGAGACGTCCTCTCAGGGTGGTCTCAGGGCAATGAGGAAGCGACTCAGGTACCTGCAGGTGGAATACAGGGCAGAAGGGAGCCGCGCCCACGAGGCCTGCTGGAGCGTGTCGCTGGCCAGAGTGCCTCACTGGCTGGAAAGGCTCCCCGAGACCTGGTTGAACCTGCAAGGCAGAGGTCAAGCCTGCCAGCTCAACACAGAGAGGGCAGTGGCTAGATGAGAGGCCGGGGGAAGCAAAGAGGGGTGGAAGTATCAGTGTCGCTTCCCACAGCTAGTGGGTGACTGTGCAGTCACTTAGCCTTGCCTTTTGCCTGTGAGGAGCCGCACACAGTCATGGGGGGCTGATGGCTGACTGTGAGGAGGCCGCACACAGTCATGGGGGGCTGATGGCTGACTGTGAGGAGGCCACACACAGTAATGGTGGGCTAATGGGTGACTGTGAGGCCGCACACAGTAATGGGGGGCTGATGGCTGACTGAGGAGGCCACAGGCAGTAATGGGGGGCTAATGGGTGACTGTGAGGGGGCCGCACACAATAATGGTGGGCTAATGGGTGACTGTGAGGAGGCCACACGCAGTAATGGGGGGCTGATGGCTGACTGAGGAGGCCGCAGGCAGTAATGGGGGGCTAATGGCTGACTGTGAGGCCTCACACAGTAATGGGGCTTATTTCCTGGTGCCTGTCCCTGTGTGTGTGTGTGGATTTCACCTACCAGGTTATTGTTCCTTCTACTGTGTGAGGTCTTAAAGAGTGAAGATTTTTGTTTCCCTCTTTTGTTTGCTGATGCATTCTTACAGTAGTTCTTTTTGCATATAGTATGTGTTAATACTCAGCTGTTTGAAAGAATGAAGGAAAAATATACATGACCTAGGTTGTGATGTATAGTTTTTTTTTTTAAGTTTTTTGTTTGTTTTTACTGTAAGTTATGGCCAAAAGTTTTTAAAGCCACTGTTAAGTAATACTTGTCACAGTGCTTGATATGATCTTGGAATAAAAACTGAAATGACAGTAATTTAAAGGCAGTTTCCTCACGAATAAGCCATGAGTGGTCTCATTCAGTTGTGTCAGTGCTTTGCTTCACACTGGCAGTAGAAACAGCGTTTCTGTGAGATTATCCGGGTTGCTCACTGAGGCACGAGATTTGGCACACGGGGTTACACCAAGACTTGAAGATCAATAGAATGTGAATTCATTAGCACAGCTTGGCCCCACTCCTGAGGCCGTATCCGCAAGCACCATCTCACTGCGCTAACGTGAGGCGGTATTTCCCTGGTGCTGCTCCCCTCTGTGAACACGGTGATCGGCATGCAGTAAGCACCCACCGTGCTTTGATGAGCATGGGGTGCAAGGGGAAGGGGAACAGAACCCTGTCACTGTTCCTCAAGACTCCAGCCATCTAGAGGGGGAGACAAGAACACAGAAAACAGTGAGCGCAGGCCACAGCGCACGTGCAGGGAACCAGGCCCTGAGCCCGAACACACCAGTGAAGGTCACGGCAGAGAACAGGCATCTCAAGTTGACTCTCCAGGTGAGAGGGTTCAGCAGCAAGGACAGGAGAGCAACAGTCTGAACAACCGCCTGACCAAAGGTTAGGGGAGAGAGCAGGTCGTAGCTGCCACTGTGGAGCCACCAGAAGCCCAATTTGGCTACAGCTCAGATGGACTTGAATGGGTTGATAATAAGAAGTGAGGCTAGGGCCCAGCGCCGTGGCGCAGTGGTTAAGGTCCTCGCCTTGCACCCCCGGGATTCCATATGGGCGCCGATTCTATCCCGGCAGCCCCGCTTCCCTTCCAGCTCCCTGCTTGTGGCCTGGGAAAGCAGTCGAGGACAGCCCAAAAGCTTTGGGACCCTGCACCTGCGTGGGAGACCCAGAAGAGGCTCCTGGCTTCGGACCGGCATAGTATTGGCCGTTGCGCTCACTTGGGGAGTGAATCATCGGACGGAAGATCTTCCTCTCTGTCTCTCCTCTCTGTATATCTGCCTTTCCAATAAAAAAATAATAATAAAAATAAATCTTAAAAAAAAAAAAAAAAGAAGTGAGGCTAAAGGGCTGCGTTTCTGTCGGACAGTCTTAAGCTCCAAGGTGAGCAAAGCTTCCGTAGATCAGCATGGAGCTGGAAGCCTTGGCCACTGTGGGAGAACCCATTCAGTCTTCACCAGCACTCTGGAGGGGAATTTCTGCAGGACCGGAAGACTCTAAACTTCCGTGAGAATTCAGAGGCAGCCGTGTTTGCTTACATCCACCTCTCGGCTGCCGTCCACTTTACCTCTGCTGGCTTTCCCACTTCGTTTTTGGACCCAACCTCCACATTGATCTTCACTTACTTGCCTCCCCTCTCCAGCTTCCTTAGTTTTCTACCCCTACCAGCCTTGTGAGATGGAAGCAGCAAAGCATCCTCACACAGCATTCATTTTTGCCCATGAGGCAGGGAGGGGATATGCTCAGAACCTACACAGCAATCATTCTAACTTGTTCTTCCTAGTGAACCAAAGGGAAAAATTTTTTTTTTTTTTTGCATTTTTTTTTGGAAGGGCAGAAATATAGAGAGGAGACACAGAACAATCTTCTGTCCACTTGTTCACTCCCCAAGTGGCCACAACAGCCAGAGCTGAGCCAATCTGAAGCCAAGAGCCAGGAGCTTCCTCTGGTCCCCAACGTGGGTATAGGGTCCCAAAGCTTTTGGCTATAATCTGCTGTTTTCCCAGGCCGAAAGCAGGGAGCTAGACGGGAGATGGGGCTGAGGGCTGGCTGGGTTGGGCTAGGCTTTAGCACCTGCCAACATGAGTTGGAACTGGGGGCAGACCAGGCTGACTTGGGCTATGGCACCCACTGGCAAATGCCAAGGTGAGGTGGGCCATGCCAGACTGGGCTGTAGCACATTTGAGACCTGGTTGGAGGTACAAGCATGGTAGGGGGCAGCATGGGCTCCCGTGCTAGGCCACTGTCCCCTCTGGTGAGCATGAGAATTGGGATTGGTGCAGATTAGGGCAGGCTGGGTTAATCATCCATATCCTCTGGCGCATGCATACATCAAAGTTAAGTGCAGATTGGTTTGGCTTTGTCACAGCATCAGATGTCAAGTACTAGGACTGGGAGCAAACCCTATCAAACTAGCTGCCAAACCATCTGGAAAGTGCGAGATCCAGGACTGGGAATAAGCTGAGTAGGTACACTGAGGGCACCTCTCTGATGGGCTGCCACTACTACTGGTGACCATGAGAACCAGGGCTGGGGCTGGGCCTGGCTAGATAGGTGGTTGCACCCAGCAGCATGAGTGAGAGCTGGATAATAAGGCCGCTTTGGTTGACTAGGCTCCAAATGCCCATTGACGTGTACAAAAGCTGAATGGGATTCAGGACAGACTGGACCAGTCTGTTGCACATACTGGCCTACACAGAAACCAGGGCTGGAGCAGGCCTGGCAGAGGATTTTGGGGGGTCACTCCAAATAGGCTGCAGTTCCCACTGATGTTCATGAGGGCAGAGTGTGTGGTGGGCAGAGTTGGGCTGGGCCACAGCAGCCACTGGTTTGTGTAAGAGATGGGGCTGGTGACAGAACTGACCCAGCAACTGCAACAACCAGTATGTGTGTAGGCTGATATGGGTGATGGACTGACTCAGACCCCGTACTGGCAAGCACACATGAGAATTAGGCCTGGGATGACCTCAGACGAGGTTTCTTTGGGGATCTCCTAGCTGAACCACTGGACTCAGAACTCCAAACATGGTGAGAATTGTAGGATCTGTGGTCTAACTGGAGCACATGTGTCAGAACCGGGCCTCTTCTGTGGCTGAAGATTATGCAATGGATGGCATGCCCAGGTGCACATGGGGATATGGCAGTCCACTGGGGACTCCAGGGATGTCTAGTACCACAGCAGAGAATGGAGGGCAGAATGAATTGGATAGCTCTCCCAGCCAAGTATTGAAAGCAAGTGTCTGGGTTAGTGGCGACTCTGAGGCGGACTGTGTCAGCCAGTGGATGTTGGAGGGATTTCCTCATCCTTGGACCAGCAAGATCGGTAGCATTTCAGAACTATCAAAACCACTTGAGCAGAACTCTTGGAGCATGTGCCACATCGGGGACCCTGAGATGACACGGGGTGGCTGTTCCTTATCCCCAGGCACTGATGTGATTGGGATGCTGGGAGCAGCTT